GGCTGTCGCCCATTGAAATTTTTCTCCCTTTTTTGTCAATTTCGTAAGTGGTTTTGCTATTTTTGAAAAATCTTCAATAAATTTTCGGTAGTATTCTGCTAGACCGATGAATGATTGTACATCTTTGACTTTGCGAGGGGTCGGGAATTCCCTTACTGCTTCTAGTTTCGAAGGGTCGGGCGATATTCCGTTTTCCTAAATCACATGTCCTAGGAACATCACCTCTTTTCTGAGAAACTCGCATTTGTCTGGCTGTAATTTCAAGTTATTATCTCGTAATCTTTTTAATACATCGATAAGTCTTTTGTTATGTTCTTCTAAACTAGGACCGTAGATCACGATATCGTCTAAATAGACTAGGCATTTGAGCCCTTGTATTCCCATCAGTACAGTATTCATTAGGCGTTGGAAGGTTGCCGGGGCGTTTTTTAGCCCGAATGGCATTCGATTGAATTCGTAATGCCCATACGGAGTTGAGAATGCTGTTTTTCCTTTATCTCTCTCTGCCATTGATATCTGGTGATATCCTGAGGCTAAATCTAGGGTGGAAAAGTATTTGGCGTTTCCGAGTTGATCCAGAATATCTGTAATGTTCGGCATGGGAAAGGAGTCTTCTATTGTTAGATCGTTAAGTTTTCGAAAATCAATTACTATTCGCAATTTCTGTTTTCCTGAAGCGTCCATCTTTTTCGGTGCTACTAGTAGGGGTGCGTTCCACTGGCTGGTGCTAGGTCTTATTATTTGTTGATTCAGCATTTCCTTCATTTGTCGATTGACTTCTTCCTAATGTTTCTCTGGGAGACGATAAGGTCTCACGTTCACGCTTGGAGAATTGCCGTGTGTGTTTATCTCGTGCTCGACACTTGTAGTATGTATGAGTGGGTCTCCTTCTATACGAAAGACGTCGTTATATTCTTCACATATGTCCATTAGTAGTTTCTTTTCTTCGCGGTTCAGATGGCTTATTCGTAATAGATTTGTTATCTGCTCGGTTCGTGGAATGGAGATGGATTCCTTGACCTTTATGTGTGCTAGTTGTGCGCTTCTTGCTTCGGCTTGCGTACTCTCTGCTACGCTTTCAATTGTAACATGCGGTGCCTGTATGTCTATCTCTTTCTCGGTCGTGTTCAATATGCTTACGGGGCAAGTACAGTCTTTCGGTGTGACCAAGCAGTTACCGATAAAGACTCCCGGTGCCGGTTCTGCTCTTCGCGTCACGCCGGTCGTATTTTGATCCGTGGTTACGTGCACGATTGTTTCACTCCGTGGCTTCAATATAATTCGCCTATACGGGTAGAGTCGGAATTCTGTCACACCTATTTTTATTACTTTTGCGTCATAATCACATAACGCTTTACTTTTGCGAACAAAGTCGAGTCCGATGATCCCTTCGTAATCTATCGGTACATCTTCTCGGATTACGTATACGGGGTGTTTTATGTTTCCGTCTGTTAATTTGATGGTCAGATACGTTTTTCCGATCGTAGTGATAGAGTGTCCCGTGATCCCGACTAATTTTATCGGATCTTCCTGAATTTGGGTTTCTCCTTTAAGAGCTTTTAATTTTATTAATGAAATTGTTGCACCTGTGTCGAATAAAAATTCGACTTGTTTATTTTCGGCTTCTCGCACGGGTAAGGAGAGCAGATCTAGTCCGGTGTCGGCTATCAGTGATCGTTCAACGTGTGTAACTCTATACGTCGCGGCGGCGCGTGTTGCCTTTGGTCTTGCCTTTTCGCTATCGCTATCTTCTTCGCTGTTATGCGGTTCAGTGCCTCTTATAGCTTTCGGTTTCTCTTTCGCCTTGTCTTTACTTTCGTGAGAGTTCCCGTAATGTTTATAATCGCGGCGTGCGGTGCTCTTTTTCTCAGGGTGTTCGTTTAGCACCCAACACTCGTTGCGCGCGTGCCCTTTTCTCCGGCAATGATTACAATATTTTTCTAAAGTATTTACGCGTCGTCCTTCCGGCTTCGGTAAGGTATATTGGTTCGCGTATCGGCTACTTCGGCAGTCGCGTCCGTAATGCCCCTTTTTACCGCATTTCTGGCACGTAACGTTAGATCGTTCGGAGTACTGATGTCTCGCGGTACTGGGCTCGAAGGAGCGTCTGTAGGGATTCTGTCGGGCGGTCGGCCCTTTAACTTTTTCTTCGGCGCTCGCTTCCTGTAACGTGTTATAGTGCTGTGACCGCACTAGCACTCTTATTTCCTCGGGTAGGCCTATTTGGAAATTGCAAAGCGCTTGCTCCTTAATGTTTTCAAGTATTGCGCGCTGTTGCTCCACTGTATGGGCTTTACCGTCCTCTGTGGCTTCGTATAATTCCATAGCGAGGGTCTCTACGCGTCTTCCGAATGTCTGCGCGTTTTCCGATTGTTTTTGGCGGAGGGAGTTAAATTCTAATTGCAGATGCGCGGTGCATCGCTTGCTTAGATATTCGCGTTCCAGTTCGCGTTTTAACTGCTCGTAATTTTCTATGCTTCTCGTGTGAAAATCTATCATAGCTTTCCCTTTAAATTTAGTGCATAAGATAGCTTCTAATAATGTATGCTCGTCGGCTGGATGTATATTTTTTATCGCGTACATACTTGCATTTATAAACTCTCGCACTCGGTTTTGTGAATTTCCGTCGATCTCGGGGATCATGTTTCGCGCTTCCTTTAGACTCAAAAAACTGACCGTCGATCCGCGTTGGTTTCGGATATCGCTATGCGAACGTCCGTAGGTTAAATCTAACGCGTGATCGTGAAAACTCTGCGAACTTCTTCGCTGCTCTCTCGGAGGGAGGGGCTCTTCCCGATTGGGTCCGTTAATTGATACGCGCAGTTCTCTTATCTCCTGAAGGAGCTCATGGAACATCGCGCTGTCCCTAGGTGATTGGTTAAAGGTGACTCTTCGACTATGTCGCGGGCTTTCGTTAGTATGGTCTATTGACTGATGTAGGCGCAAAATTTCGTCATCAATTTCGTCTTGCGGCGGATTTTCCACTATGTCGTGTGACGTACCGGCCATAGGTTGGGCCGTCGCAGCTCGTGGCATGCCGGCGAGAGGTTGAGTCATCGCATCTCGTGACGTACCGGCGATAGGTTGGTCCATTGCGTCGGATAACGTTCGTCGAACTTTACTTAAGTCGAGTCGGTGTCGTGACGTCGGGGTGTCGTCGCGTTCGTACGTGCGTCGGGGGTTGCGAGGGTTAGAGATTCCTACTCGTGGGTCTCGATTTTGAAGACCTGACGCCAATAAACTATAATCGTTTATCTCGAAGGGAAATTCTCGTTCTACTTGAACGTTAAACGATGGGCTTGCTTCGCTGCCGCTGCTTGAACGGGCAGTGTTTAGCGCGCGACGCGAGGCGTTACTTATGTTAGTTAACGCGTCGGCGGCGATTTGTAACGCGGAAGCTTCCTCGGCGGGAGGTGTACGCGGTTCTAACGATAACAGTGAGTTATCGGGAGTCAATCTCTCACGCCCGTGTCCTTCCTGGGACATTCGCGGGTGTCTATCTTATTGTTCGCTAATCGCGGTATGGCTCGCAGGCCATTTACATGCGTATGAGAATTTGAGTGCGGACTCACGCTACGATGTAAAGCTGCATGTTGTCGTCCGCTGCTCCGTCTGCTTCGCTGCTTGTCGTGCGGTAGGTCAGTGCTGTCTCAGGTTGAGCTGATCTCCGCGCGGTGAGTTGGTGTTGTCTCTGGTTGCGCTGCTAGCGTCTGCTTGCGGGGCTGGTCGGGCTGTTGTCGTAAAGGGCGTTGCGCCGTTCCTAGTCCTCCACAGCTATCGGGTGCCCTTGTCGTATCGTCGAGGGTTTAGCTTACGCCGGTTACGCTGATAGCGTCTGCTTACGGGGAGTGTTGAACTGGTCGCCGTGCTATGCGTTGGTGCCGTCTGAAGTCCTCCGTAGCTACCGGGTGTTCTCGACTTGTCGTCGAAGTTTCGCTTACGGGGTTTCCGTTGGTCTTGTAGACTCTGTATTACGGTTTCCCTCTTTTCGAAATTTTCAGTTGCTGGTCGTTTCGGAGTCGAGGTGGATGGAAGGCAGATCCCACCGCTGCCACCAGGTTGTTGTGCCTCCCGACGCAGTCGGGGCACGGGACGTGATTCGGGATCGTTTGCCGGGTTCACACAACGACTCTAGGTCGACGAGTCAACAATCGTTTAAATAAAAAGTCTTTTTTATTCAAAACTAGTATAATTCTTGCACTCGCGTTAACAGCAGTTAACCGTATCGTTACTTAGCTTAGATTGACCCGCCTTCCTTCCTTTCCAGTCCTTTTTATATCAATCGCGCTTGGCCCTGTTGTCAGGCCACTTATTGTTTAGTAAGCAGTTGTTCCGTTAGCAACTGTATGCGCGGCTTCGATGGATTCGTACTTTGCTCCGGATACTCGTTTTCGTCGCATGCGGCAGGTGTTATTCGATACCTTGCTGCGTGCGAAGTCGTCGTCTGATGTGCGGTGTATCGCACTCATGACACACTAAAGAGCAAGCATTTGTTGTGTTTCCACTAATTCATACATTATAGTATATTTTATTTATTTATTCGTATGATACTAACATTTTTACACACACATACACACACACACGCCCGCACGCACGCACGCACGCACACACAATATTATTTTCTATCCACACTATTTAGGTCGACACTTTTTTCTTAATACTGTTTATTTTTTTAATATGGCTTGCATTAACGTTGAATTTAAATGTTAATTTCTATTAACTTTTACTTTTAGCGATATTGTTCATTAATCAGAATATATTGATCGAAACATTATGTATAATTATGCAAAGGGCCTCGTCCGGATGGAATAATAATTGTAGTCGTGCCTCTGGTCACGAACTCACAACAGAGTTTAAATATTTCCCGTGATAAAAGAAAAATCCCCCGCGCCTGGCGCCATGCGTGGCGGCGCGGGATAACCTCATTGTGTTCTCTGTTGCGTAACCATCAACAGCGTACTGGTCTTTTTCTGCGTATTTGGTGTAATTTTAGTATTATCATGTCGGATTCACATCGTCGCAAGAAGTCCAGATCTCCAAGTAAGCGGAAGGAGAAATCGAGACATCATCGTCACTCACGAGAGCATGCTCGTAGCGAGAGACGCGATCGTTCACGCCCGCGAGGTTATGGACGTTCACATACTCGCGATCATAGCCCGGTTCGCTCTCGCAGCCGATCTCGCGCGCCCGAGGGAGGAAGTATTTTGGCTGAACTCCATCCCCAACTAGTTGCCCAAATTTCTGAACTGTGCAGAAATTTCCGAAACACATCTCCAGGGGAGGTTATTCCGCCTACCACGAATCCTAGCGTTCAAGCGCATTCAGAGCAGCAGCCACCGAAAGACACGCCGGTTCCCACGAACCGGGGCGATGCACCAGGTATGTCCCTTTGCCGACCCCTTTTTTCCACGAAAGAAAAATGGATACAGAAGGGACATAGCCGATGTGTTCTTTTCGGCGCTCGCTCACTTTTCTTTTCATTCGCAGGCGGCCGATCGGTCTCTTTTAACGAACAGGGGCCTCCCTCGCAACCTTCGTTTTCGACAGAGCTATTCGCAACTCAATCTGAAGTTCCCTCAGATATAGTATGGGGACTCGACAATTTTAGATTTTGCACGCTCAACGGTACAGACAGGGCTTCCCGAGAATCTTCGCCGAGAACTTCTTCAGAAATATGAGGTTAGAGGCGACCTGGCGGCTTTGGGTCCACCTAAAATCAACAAACTACTGCTGCCGGCCCTGAAATCCTCATCGTCCACGATGAAAAGAGACGAATACCAAGCAGAGCGCCAGGCCCAACTCGCGGCAGCATTAAATGCTATTGGTTGCGGTACTTCAACTCTTTTAAAGCCGGAAGTTTTGGATTGCCTCCCTGAGGAAGGAAAACTGGCTATTCGCCAAATATCTGAGGGAATCCGCCTCAATGCGGATCTCCAGTATCGTCTCTCAATTGCTCGTAGAGCCTTTATCAAGCCAACGTTAACTCTGTTGGGAAAGTCAACGGCTGACTCTGCTCCCGTAGACGAATGGCTCTTTGGCAGTTCTTTTGCCGACGAAATCAAGGATGCCCAAGCGTGCGAAAAAGTTGCCCGTGGTCTAGTGAAGACAACGCCAGTCGCCCCCAAGGCCACGTCACAACAACCGAAGCGTTTTCAACCCCAGGCTGCCCCCACTACATCGGGAAATGCCAAGGCCCCCACTCGGTCGAGATTTCACTCCCGAGCGGGGGCTCGTCAAACCAGGGCCCGCTCGACACACCGGTCCAGATCGAAGTCTCGTTTCCACCGCCGATAAACAGGGTAAGCATCGCAGGTCGCCTGGCAAATTTCATCAATGAATGGAAGCGCATAACTTCAGATCCAAGGGTCTTACAGGCGGTCCAGGGGTACAAAATTCCCTTTGTAGAACCCCCAGAAATGCGCCCTTCTCGGACAGAACCGGTTTTCTCAGCCTCAACTTCACGTCATTGCGATTCTGAAATTGCCCGACTCTGTACTGCAGGGGCAATTTACAGTGTCAAACCTTCACAGGATCAATTTCTGTCCCCGTTTTTTCTTATAGAAAAATCTAGTGGTGGAATGCGGTTCATTTTGAATCTCAAGGAGCTCAATTCTTACATGGATCCTCCGCATTTTAAATTGGAAGATTGGCGAACTGTGGTTCGCCTCATGCTTCCTGATTTTGAAATGTCATCCATCGACCTTGAAGATGCATACCTCGTCGTTCCAATACATCCTTCATATAGGAAGTTCTTGCGTTTTCAATGGAGGGGTACAACATATGAATGGGCTGCTCTTCCTTTCGGACTCGCCACCGCTCCATACATTTTTTCCAAGATCCTTCGACCAGCGATAAAATTATTGAGATCTCAAGGTTTTGACTCCGTTGTCTACCTTGACGATTTTTTACTGCTAGCTTCATCAAAACCTGCATGTCGGGATAACGTGCGAGCTCACCTGAAGCTACTTGGTGACCTTGGATTTGTCATCAATTACTCAAAATCAGAATTAGAACCGTCACGACAACGCAAATTTCTTGGCTTTATTTTTAATTCGGAGCAACAATCCGTATCAATCCCGAATGATCGCCGAAGAAAACTTTTCTCTCTCGTCGCAAAGTTCTCACCTGGTTCTACATGCACTATCAGAGACTTCGCAAGTATGATTGGCTCTCTGGTATCAATTTGTCCGGCAGTGCAATACGGACTCCTTTATACGAAATCCTTTAAGAGAGAAAAATTTTACAATCTCATTTCGGCCGAAAATAATTATGCTGCTAAGATGACAATCTCAAATTCATTGAAAAAGGATTACCTTTGGTGGTTAACCATTTTATCGGATAATTATCAAACGAATCACATCCGCTCAGGTCCCTATGCTTGCGAGATTTTTACCGATGCATCTCTTTCGGGATGGGGAGCGTCCTGTTCTTTGCAGCGAACCCACGGTTGGTGGTCTGAAACTGACAAATCTCGCCACATAAATTATCTCGAACTCAAGGCCGTTTTTTACGCCCTGAAATGCTTCGCCAAAGACCTTAGCGACTGTGACATCCTTCTTAGAGTGGATAATACCACAGCAATCTCGTACATTAACAAATTCGGCTCGGTTCAACACCCTCACCTCTCCTCATTGGCCAAGGAGATTTGGCAATGGTGCGAGGCCAGAAATCTTTTCCTTTTCGCCTCTTATATTGCCTCAGGAGACAATGTTATTGCCGATGAAGAGTCTCGCCAACAGGTTCCAGATACTGAATGGTCCCTTTCGTCTAGGGCCTTCAATTCGATTTTGCGAGAGTATGGGCCGTTTGACATCGATCTTTTTGCCTCGGTACTCAATGCCAAGTGTTCAATTTACGTGTCCTGGTTCCCAGATCCGGGTGCTTGGACGATTGATGCATTTACCCTCTTTTGGAAAAACTTC